AATCACTGTGAGGAGTTCAGTGATGTGAGGGGCTGGGCCATCTGGGTGCAGCTGTGTCTGGCCAGGGTGTGGGATGCGCTCGTGCTGAGGTGCACAAGTGGCACTGGCCAGTGGAACTGAGCCCCATCACAGTCCAGGCACTTGGAAGAGACTGGGGCTTCTCTGGGCTGCTGCCTTGTCAGACAATGTTTACCACAGGGTTTGTGCTCCAGCTCCCTCTGCCTTTTGGCTGGTAGCAACAGATGCCTTTCTCAGCCTTTCTCTTGGTTGTTGTGCTCATTCCAGTGGTTAAAGAAGTCCAGGCACGTGGCTTTCTCTGGAATACAGTTTAGATGTTCAAAACAGGGAGCATTCCTAAATAGCTTTCAGTTTGTGCCCGTCATGTGCAATTAATAATGTGGTTATTGAGTCTGAGATCAGCAAAAGGGTGAAGTGAAATCTTGTGTCCTGTTAGAAAACACTTGTCTGGTAAAGGTACACTGACCATTGAATCTGTTGCTCTCCATCTCTCTGCCTGAATGCCTTGGCAGGTGCTGCTGGCTGTCACTGCTCATACATTATGGATGGGTATGGATTTTCCAGGAATGGATCAGCCTTCCTCTCCATCCTTAAGTGTTAGTGAGAGGAAGATGGTCTTTTTTCCTTCAGAGCTGGTGTGTTCCCAGGACCTCCATCAGAGGCATTACTCATCTTGCAGCCAGATGGTCTCAGATGTGCTTTTCCTTACTCGTTCCTCCACAACAGCACTAGGAGCCAGCCTGAGAAATACCTTATCCTGGATCCAGTTTGGCCAGGATAGTTCTGATTTTGCAGTGAATTCCACACCTCTCCTGCTGGAGGAGAGCCCTACAACCCTGCTGTAGGATTTCTCCAAATGGCTCGGGCCAGTTTTGCAGTTTGTGGCTCATATTCTGAGTTATTTGGACAGTGGGCTGTGTCTGTTTGGACAGTAGGCTATCCAGGTTCTGATAGCAGGGAGGATTCTTCCACCTTCTTTTACCTGAAGGCAGACTGTGTGGAAAGATTGGATGTCATCCTGACACGTTTCAGTTGTTTTGAAGCCTATTCTTTGCTGTATAAAACTTTGAACTTGGAGAAGATGCTTCTTGTTTAAAAAAATATCAAGTGGATTCCAGAAAAGGCTTTGGAAATCTCAGCAGCTTTTTGTATGTGATATCTGCTGTCCTGTCTTAGACATGGCTTTAACCTTAAATGCCAATATTTCATTTGAATCTCTTCTAAATTAGAAATTACTTCCTACTCTGCAGCACCTGGTATGGAGTTGGACATTTTTGGGAAGGAAAGCTGCACAGTTAAGAGTAGGTTTAGAATGAAATGATCATTCTTTTGTTTTGTTTACAAACAATTGGGACTTTTGATTCTGTGGTGAATAATTTAAAGTGGAGAAATATGAATGCTAAAAAGCAGTGTAATAATATGTCTGTAGAGTACTTTGAAGATGAAAAGCTCTATATACTGTAAACATTATTACTGGTATAGCCTAATCTGTGTGGAAAAATTAATCAAGCATGAGCTGAGTGTAGATTTTTTAATGTACAATTTAGTGTTTCAGAAAATCTAATGCACCCATGTGTTTGCTTTCACGTTGTAACATTAGAAATTTATCCTCTTATATTTTTAGTATGTGTGCTGCAATGATTTACTTTGTTGTTACCTTCCAAAAGCAGAGTGGGTCCTAATCCGCAGCCTTTCAGAAATGTGAAGTGCCTAGGCTGGGAGGGAAATAGGTTTGATAGCAGAGCACTGTGTGCTGAGAAGTGGGTGCCTGTCAGACGTGGAAGTGTTCTGGGGGCAGTCGGCCTTGGGCGTGTGCTGTGGCGTGGGGCCAGCCGGCAGTGCAGCAGGGAGCCAGGCGGGTGCCAGGGGTGCGGAGTGAGCACTGCCAGGCTGCTGCAGGTGGCTCAAGCTCTGAGGCGTTTTCCCAGGCTCCAGCTGCACGGCCCATGCGAGCCTGGGAGCGGGCTTCCCGGTGCTGCAGGCGCACACGGCCTCCGCAGGGCAGGGCAGCCCGCCCGTGGCTGCTCCGCAAACCGGAGAGCTGGTGTCTGCCTGCTGCTGCCCCTCCGTGCCCTGGCACTCTGAGTACAGCCAGCAGGGCACGTTACTGTTCCCTGCAAGGGCAGTGCTCACTGTGCCTATTGCAGCTGAAAGTGACTGTGGCTTTTCTAGAACCGCTTCTCTGCAGCCTCCTTTTGGGTTCCAGGGTCTATTTCCTTGGGGTTGATTTGTTTGTTTGGTTTTGTTGTCCATTTTGTTTCTGGACCCCAGATCTGATGATTTAGAGTGCCCAGGTTTGAAACAAAAATAAAACTTCAAGTCACTAAATACAATTCTATTTCTGCCTTGTGCTGGTAATCCACAAAGGGAGCTTTGTCTGTGAAGAGGAAATTGAAGATGGGATCAACCAGGTTTGCTGAGCCCAGGATGTGTGAACTTTCTACATTACTGGAAAAAACTGTCTGTAGCTTGAGGTTCAGACTTTTGTGTTGTGCTCAAAAGGAGTGATGGAGCACTTGGTACGTGTCAGTTGGTCCGTTCTTCCATGAGGTCATGAACAGATTTAAACTCATGCTGGGTAACTGTGTAGAAAGCTTAAAAAGCTGCGAGTCGCATGGGCTTCTTGGAGAAAAAGGTTTTCTTGTGAGTCTTATTTTTAAGTTTCTTTCTTCATGAAGCAGAATAGTTAATTGGATAATATATTTCCCCAGAGGGAAGCTGAAAGAGGATATCACCATTTTTATAGTTCTGCAGTAACTCTGACAGCTTTAAAACGGGGAGTTTCTCAAACTGCAGCTGACTGCAGAGTAGATCATATGTCACATGCAAGAGGGTTTCAGAACATTCAATGAGTGTAGCTGTGTGATACTTTCAGAATGCAGATATCTTAAATGTAGCGCATCTTAATATTTTCTCAGGCTTAGCAACAAGTAACAGCAACTATCTGTTCAGGCCTTTTCAGCAAACTATTAAATAATCATGGAAACTAAAATGATTTTTTAGTGTTAGTCCCTCTGGGCTGAGCTTATCAGCTCAGGTGCAATTCCTTGTGAAGGCTTTATAAGACTTTCAGACTTCAGCTGATGCTGCAAAAATAGTTTGTAGAGATGTCTTGATCTCTTACATAATTATTTATTTTGTCAGATCTGAGGTAGGTGTTCTCTTCCACAGAGCAGTAGCTGGCTGAATCAGGGGCCTCTAAGGAGAATTTGAAACTTTGTTCAATCACATGTGATTAAACACTTAACCTTCCAGACAATACCAGGACAGCAAGAAAAATAAACAGATATAGATGTCACTGATCTATAAAAGAATTTCAAGAGAGAAGCATCCTGCTTTTCCTGTAAAAAACAAAGATTCACACTTTTTCATTTTAGATTCCTTTCACAAAAAACCCAAAACATGGGGAATATTGCCAACAAATGCACACAGAAAGAAAAACTTTCAATATTTACTGTCTGAAGATTTGTTTTCCAAGTTGTACTTTTAGGAATGCTACTTTCTCAGCTTTCCAAGGTCACGGTGGCATATGTTGTTATCACACTAATAACTTATTTATATACAGGGCAAATTCTTTGATTTGACTAAGCCTACTAGGAGTGATAAAGAATTGTAGATGCCAAACTGGAAATAGCTAAAAGTAATTTTCCTTAATTGTTCTTTTAAGTAAACAGTTAATAAAGCTGGTGGATTGCATCCAAATTTTTCTCTGGTGCTCATCATTTTTAAGGGATGGTTCAACTTGTCACATCTTGACTCGATCTCGAAAAGGAAGTCAAATTTTGGGTGCCTTCCTGAGGGGAAGGAAAAAAGATGGCTGATAAATTTCAAAGGGATTGATTGTGATTACTAACTGTAGTTGTTAATGAGAGCTGAGGCTCAAGGGCACTCGATGGTGAGCTCCAGAAGATCTTGTAGGAGAGGGGAACCCTTCAGGAGGACGTGCAGTTATACTTAGAAATAGGACATGCCTTGGCACTTGCTCTGTAGGGATTGAGACTGGAACAAGCAAGCTTTCCCTTCTTGTTAAATGGTTAGATTATAAAAACAGCAGTAGCACTTAATATTCTAATTGATTTGTGCTAATTGCACCTAGGGTAGCCGACTGTCTTCAAAGCATCAATAATCGAAGTCTCGCAAACCCCATCCAAGTTAGGGGAAATATCACCAACCCTCTTTCGCAGTTTGATTTCAGCGAGGTGCGCAGGGAGCTGGGGAGGATGAGTCCCAGGTGTCAGCTTGGCACTCTCAGTGGGAGTCGGGTTGCTAAATCCCTTCATGAATGAAGTGCTAACTGATTTACCAGGGTCATTTGGGAATTGAAGTAGAACAAAAGTAAAAGCTGATGCCCTAATACTTTCTCAGCCATAGTAGAATCTGTCTATTTCCTCCCCTGCTAATGCACAAGGATCTCTGTCATTCTTGGAATAGAAAGGGAAAAAGCCTCTGAAGGTTACAGGTACCTGCTGAGTCAGCCGGGCAGCTCGGGCTGCTGTACGTACTGAAGAGTTCAAATGTGGCCATTTCTCACGTCATTCAGTGGAACTGTACCATCGAGCCCTTTCATGCTTGGGTTTCCTTGTATTTACCTTTTTTTCCCCCTTACCAGGTCTGTCACCTTCCTCTAGAAGGTGGTTAAGAAAATGGATATCTGTTGGAATGTGTTTGAAAGCATGACACCGCACTGTTAAGCAAATGACACCTCTGATCAATTAATTAATTTAATTTCTGTGGTTGGGTTACAGAACTTGGTGGTTGTTCGTTTGTCTAGATTTTTGCTCTGTTTCAGGCACTAATTTCTTCAGACTTCAGTATGAGTGTCAGTTTCTTTTGAAAAATATTCCATTAAAGTTACTTTTTCCTTTGTCTCGTTGAGCTACCTCTGCTTTCTCTCAATCCAGTCTTAGCAGATGTGCAGCACTGAGACCAGAATGCCCAAGATACCCTTACACTTAATCTTATCCCTTTGTTTTATGTTGCAGCCAACAGTTTGCACATTACTGCCTACTTTATGAAGAGATGGGTTAATCTCCGTTGTGCTCTAGGGAAACATTATCGTGGTAAGAAATCAGTTTCTTACAGAGCTACTTACAGGAGAAAGAAAGGGAACATAGCTAAGACACTGTCAGATTTTCATCTACTTAAAATTGCTTGCAGAGGTTGGGTTTTTTGGTGGTTTTTTTTTTTGGTTTGCATTTTAAAAAGAAGATTTCCTGGAAACAACAACAAAAATAAAAAGAGAAATGTTTCTTGAGATAAGATGGATTTTTTTTTAACTTAATTTTAAATTTGTGTATGCCTTGCCCCAGGGTAATCAGCTAAGCCTCACCAAATTCTGTAAGTATGACGAGACTCAGCATTTTCCTGAGTCTCTGCAGGGTGAATCAAGCAGAGGTTGCAGCATGAATCACTCCATTATTGCTGGAGTGTCTCGTGACATCACCGTGCAGTACAAGTGTATGCAGGAAAGGCTTTCGTTCTCCACACACCCGTACCATCCTGACGTCGCTGATGTCATTGCACCACGTCTGCTCTTCATGTTCTTTCAGGCCAGGATGCTCTGGAAGGAAGGGAATCAATCCTCTCCTGCCAACACCAATGCAAAGGAGCTGTAATGATCACTGCCCTCTGCTCTGTCCTCTTGGCATTAAATGGAAAAAAGCAAAGTCCTTAACAATGCTGAATAATTGAATGGATATTTTAACATAATTTATTACTTTTGTAGGCATTCATAATATTCATAAATGTTTAAATTTGTCTTCAAATGTCAACTGTTTGTATTCTAAGTCCATATTGGCTGAAGAGATCAGTGTTGACTTTATTTCATCAAACTTGTCCTGTTAGAACAGAATTTCAGTGTCTGCACTGGAATCTCAACACTGTTTGCTGTCTATTAAATTTGAACTGTTCTAAAGCATCAATGAATACCTAAAGATACCTGCATTTTGCTAGCCAGCAGATGAGATTGTTATAAAATGTAACTATAAAAGCATATTACTGGAAGCAACTTGCCCTACTCTTCAATTCTGCAAAAAAAAAAAAACATCTGTGAGATCAATCTCGTAGGTTTTTTTCTGCAAGCCTTGTCTCTTTCTTGTCCCATAAAAACAGAGTGTTATGGCTTCATCCTGAAATATAACAAACTTAAAAAATTTTTAAATTCTCTTTTTATAAAAACAAAACCCAGCAACAAAAGAAAAAAAAAATCAGAGCTGAAAATATGAGGATACTGATCTGGAAATAATTCCATATGTAAGCAAGAAAATATCCATCTGTGCTCTTCCCATAGCATTGCCAGGTACTGAACAAAGCTTTGTCTTGTCTGTTCTAATCTGAGAACCCTTCAATTTTCAATCCTTTGTAAACAGAAACTTTGTTGTGTTCATAACAAACCATGTGATCATGAGTAAAATGTGTAATTCAGTAGTAGTTAACCACTTTGTTTAGTGACTTCAAAAATCTCTGCAGCCAGAGTGTGAAACTCTGTGCCCTGGCTTTATGCTGAGGTTTGATGCCAAGCCCTGGCTGAATGTTGTTCTGGGCTACAAACCTGATGTTCAGCTTTTGTGATGAAAAGACTCCTCACCAGAACAGCACAAAAGAAATCCTTGTTAAGTGGTTTGTCTCTTGGTTCTGTCTGGTCTTCCTGTCCAGGGGTGCAGGTGGACTAATGTGCAGCCATGACTGTCCTCTTGGGAACTCAATTTATTCTACTTATTGATTTTTTGGAATGCTTTATAAAAACAAAACAAAAGGAGGGGTGGCATGTAGAAGAGAGTTGGTGAGAAGCAAGAGTTGCATTAAATGAGTTAGTGTGCAATTAAAAAAACAAGTAATTTTGTGTACTAAAATAACATGTATGTTGTTATGAGTGGTTTTGAAAGTGGTTATGATTTTTGTAATCCTCTTTTCAATTCTTTTTGTGTAGAGCTCCGTGTGTTTCCAGAGAAATTTATCGTTTGTGTCAGCAAACTTGACTTTGATCCAAGTGCTTGGACATGTGACGATGGTGGATTGGTAGGTACAAAACTGTTCTCTAAATTTTTGGGGGTTTTTAATAGAAACGGAGCAAATATTTTTATATATAGATGTAGTTATGCAAGTATTTGTTACTGTCATCTTGGCACCAGAAAGTCACATGAACAATTGAGCCAAACTATTCAAAAGGGCATCCTGAAATGAGCCTAAGGCAGGCAGAAATGGAAATTTTGAAAGCTCAGCATTTTCTGAGCCTTATAAGTCTTGGAGACCATGTGTTTAGAAAGCTGGGTAGGACTTTAGCACCTTGATTTAAGGATCTTTTTTATCTTTATATTTTCCTTGTAACGTTTTAGTCTCCAAAATTCTAATGTAGCTAAGTTTGTAAAGTCCTCGGGTTTCTTGTCTGTTTTCTTAGCACTTGTTCTGAGCAGCAGCTCAAGCGGATCAGTGCTGGCCCTGCTGGGAAAAAAATCCCCATACATTTATGGAGGAAAAGGCACTGGTGTGTGGTTAAGTACCAAAAGCAACTCTCCTTAAATATTTCATCCTGAAGGCTTCACCAGGGTCAAAGGCTTCTGAATTGTATCCTGCAGTTAAGTGCTGATTGTCTCAGGAGTGCTCACGTGGGCCCAGGTGCTGCTCTGTGGCTCACACTGAGGGTCACAATTACACCCCAAGGTCTGGGTGGATTTTAGGAGTTGATCTTACATGTATTAAAGTGTATTTGACCCTTGAAAAAATGTGTTTTCTTTTACTCATTCGACTCCTTTTTTTTTTTTCCAATACCAGCTAGGGTGTTCATATTTGTAATGCTAAATACAGATTTTCTTGTTTCAGTTCCTAACTTGCTACATACCCTTAAGTGTCAAAGAATCAAGCACATTATTTTTGCACTCTCAGAAAAAAACCTATCTCCCTGCTCTAGAAGTACTTTGCTCTTTGGAAAATTATTACTTTTTCAGTATTGTCTTGAAAACTACTTAATGCTTGAAGTAGAAAATTCTATCTCTGCGTTTTGACTGAGAAATAATTATGGGGTTTCTTCTTGCTTAAGTAACTCTTAAGGCTCAGAGATATCCAATTCCCTCATTTGGTATTTTTCATCTTTCCATAAAATAAGAGTTGAGAAGTTTTCTTTTGTTTTTCTTGTGATCTTTTGTGGGAAGGAGAAGGCAAATTAAAAAATTGACTATTTCAAAATTGGATCTTGATCTGTGGAAGCTCCTTGTTGTTTAAAAGGCAAGTTGAAACACTTTCATATTTAAAAAGAAAACGTCTCTTCATGAGCTGATAACCTAACCAACAATAAAGTCTTGGGAGTTTGCTTTGCTTACAGATGCAGTGTGTGTGCACAGCCCTGCTGGGATGGGCAGTGTAGTGTGCTGGTAGGAGGGAGTAAGTAAGAGAAAGTTAGCCCTAAGCAGCTTCCCTGATTGGAAGAACTTGGCAAGATGGGAGCAGACCCTCAGCAAATGTTTTGGAGCATCTGTTTAATTCTTCCCACTCTCACTTAAAAGGTCCACTCCAGACTGTTTAGTTGTTGCAGGATTCCTAATGCACATTAGTACCAGATTTGTCATATACTCCAGCTGAGTACTTCGCCAGACCGGGGGAGTGTTTGGTTGCCACTGAGGGTTTTTCAAGTTTTTGGCACTCCAAAAGAAAGGCAGAGAATCTGCACTTTGTGTGTGCCTGCTTTTCTCCATGCAGTTGAGCCATGAGTAGGCTGGAATTCTAAACTCTGCCCTACAAAAGACCACCCAGAAGACCTTTCTGTTGATACACTCTGCAGATCCTGTCATGGGCTGAAAATGAGGCTGTGTTTTGTTTTCTTCTCCATGTTGTTTGGGTTTGAATAATGCCACAGTGTTGGATGCAAGTTCTTTTAAACCTTTAATCAGCTCACACCCTTGGATTTGAGGGCCTGTTTGTGTTTTATAAAAGTAGTTAACCATACGTTAATGGAGATTTTGTCACTTTCCTGTGTTGCTGTGACTGTTATTGACCTAGTCAAGACGTAGTGATTATGTATTTTTTAAACTGTTTTTATGCTGGTTTATGGTCTGGATCAAGCTTTCATTCCTGAGCTCTGTCAAGACAAATCAGGCTCAGTGTTCCCCTTTCCCATTACTTGGAACAGGTTTTATGTCAGCCTGGTGCTCATTTCCTTCACTGACCACAACTCTGGTCCTTCACCTGTCTTCAGCCCTTCATTCTTTGCCTTTTTTCTCTGCTTTTTAGGCTGTTTTGTGTATCTCTGGAATAGGCTGCAATTAAACAACGAGTTTCAAGGGATGTAGCCAGCCATGAAATGAAATTTTTTTCCTGCACCATAGGAAAGATTTCAATTAGATTGCTTTTGAGATATTCACAAGCACAAACCTCAGCATCAGTTGCTGGGAGAACTAATTTTAATCCTTCTGTGATGCCTCATGTAAGACTAAGTAGACAGTCTCTGTCAAATTAGATTTAAGCATAAACCAATAAAATATTTGAGGGCACCTCTAAGAAGCAAAACAGAAGAAAATCTATCGATATATAATTTTCTAGGATGCATTTATAAACGGGTTTGTCTGTGGCTATGTTTAAAACTCAGGCTGCAGGCAGTAATAAGCATTTTGGAAGAAGGGAAATCTCTAGTAAAGAAACAATATAGCAAGTTATTGAAATTACATAAGCAAATTGGAAGTCTTAAGGAAAAGATGGAAGAATGGGTTGAGTGATTAATGCCACGTTTAAACATAAAGCCATTGTTTCCTGTTTTACCAAACTGTGTTTGCAATCTTGAATAGTTTTATCTTGAAAAAGAAGACAGTTTTGGGAACGTGGCAAAAGAGGAAACCCAAGGAAATATACAAGAGCTCTGGAGAGATTAGTCGTCTTTGTCAGTGACGACATTTTCTCGATTATTATTCTGTAGGGAGCTAAAATGGAAAATTGGAAATGGGTTATCTGGGGAAACAGTGGAAATGGGTGGAAGGCTTATGAGCATTTGAAAATGTGCAAACAATGGAGTATTCATTGATAACCACATCGGCTTTATACCAGAATCTATGAGAGGAAGCACTTCTAGGGAAAGCATGGAGGAGGTTAACCTAAGGATGGTATTAAAGTGGAAATTTGAAATTACTGTTTGAGTAACATCACAAAAGAAAGTGAGCAGTAGGAGATCCTGTCTTGATTAAAAAGGTCTTGGGGTTTCCAGTGAGCCTTGTTAAGTTACAGAGAATATTAGACAAAAATAAATATTCTGTTCCAGCAGAACATTGCTCTTTAAAAGCCAAACCAACCAAAACAACCCCTTCACAGGTACACATGGAGGAAAAAAGTGCTAAAGATGTGCCCAGTGCTTTTTTAAATCCCCAGGAGGGAAATAAACTATTTCATCTTCTTGATACCTGTCTGATTTGTAAATTATGTCATTGTAGTACTTTTCAGGAGCATTAGAGAAGTCTCATTCTTAAAACTCCTGAGAGCCTTAGTGACAGGGTTATGCTGGGAAGAGGCTTCTGGTTCTTTCATGCAAACATGAAACTTAGCTGTAATTAACAGATCTGTCCCACTAGAGTGTATGCTGCTGGAATAGTGTGTCTGTTGGAATGTAGAATGAAAACTTCAGATAGCAGCAATTTGTAAAGATTAGTACAGGACTTCATGTGAAATTTAGTTATCTTAAATGCTTTAAAGACTTATTGTTAAGTGATATCAGATTGGGTAGGGGAAGAAGGAAATGCTGTGAAATAGAATTGCACAATTCACACTGTAAGTACAAATCTTGGCGTGTGTGTATATCTATATATATGTATAAAATATTACAGTGAAGTGCTGTGCTGGTGGGCTGCTACTGAAAAGGTCACTCCACATCCCCTCTACATCCAGCCACTTTCCTTTCTGGGTACAATGGACCAAGTGATTCTTCAGCTGAGAATGAATTAATTCATTGACTTGATCTAGCAGAAAATGATTTATTTGTGAAGTTTCTCTGTTTTTCATTGGAGGATTAGTTTTCCATCATGTCAGTTCCCTGAACCAACTCATCCTGTACCCACACACTTGCCAATTGTGATGCAAAAAAATGTTGCAAGAGCAGACAGTCAGGCTTTGGATGAATGGAGCCGAAGCAGCCTTTAGGTAGCAGCTGAGTTACCTGGGTTTGAAAGTAACAGCCACAACACATTAATGTTACATTTCTTGTAATATTTGTCTTGCTGCTGACTTTTCTATGTCACTGTCCTTTTTGAATTTTATGAAATCTAGTTTTCTGGGATTTTAGATAAGGTGCTGAATTATTTTCAGTTACTATAGTAAACAAGAGAAAAACAATAAGCTGTAGATGGTAAAATATCAACAGGGTTCACTACTTCTTTCAAAAAGATAGAGAGGTGAAGCTGGAGACTAATGAACTTTATCCAAACACCGCATTAGTGGAACTGGCAAAGAATTGCTTGGGTGAGTTTTCACTTTTGACACCTCAAGCTTCTGTCACTTTTTTGCTACTCATCCTTCCTGTTCTCTGCTCCTCCTGCCTTCACTTCCCTGAGCATTCTTGTCTTCAGTGTTTGTCAGTGCTGGGGTCATTCAGTGGTGCCTCTGAAAACAAGGGGTGGTTTTGGTTTGGATTTTTGTTGTTTGTGTGGTTCACTTTCAGTCAGATCCTTCGGTGTTGCTCCTTGGCAGGACCACGTGTTGGGTAAGGGTGAGACTTCCCTTTCATTGTTGGTGTGGCTTTCAATTAGCTTCAGTCATTAGGCTGCTGTCTCTGAGAAGGTGCATCTGAGAGGAGTGATCCTGAAGTCTTTGCCTCGGTCATAAACAGAAAGCTACAGCAGCTTTACAGTATTCCCTTTTGCCCCAGCTGTCTGCCCCTTCTCCTTGGAGGTCCCCACTCCTGCAGCAGCGCCTGCCAGCAGGGCTGAGTGCCTGCATCTCATCTTCCTGGGTACCACAGTCTGGATTCGTGCACACCGAGCTTCCCTGGCTGGGAGCAGCTGGGCCATGTGTGTGTGCTCCCTTCTGCCAGCTCTGAGTGGGGCAGG